GATAAATTCAAAATCAACACCAAATTATCCAAAGATCCTAAAAACTACCCTAATGGGAAATCCATGCCCCAAGTCCAAGTTGCCTTGAAATTACGTGCTGAAGGTAAGGTTATCAAAGCCGGTAGTGTCATCACCTATGTCATAACCTCACCAGCCGACGACGAAGATAAATCCACACCAGCAGAACGTGCTAGATCAATCCAAGAAGTCATGGCAAAGAGGGATGAACTAAAACCTGACCCCAACTACTATTTGGAAAAACAAATCTTTGCCCCCGTTGAAAGATTATTAGAAAGAATAGAAGGAGTAGATATGATGAGGGTTGCAAGTTCATTAGGAATCGACACTAGGAAATATATCTTACGTACCAGAAATAATGAAAACAATGGAGAAATCGTGCCACTTGAATCAAGTATTTCCGATTCTGAAAGATTTAGACAAACTTCATATTTGGTACTCAGATGTAAATGTGGACATTCATTCCGATTTGGTGGGATTCAAGCTTCTCAAGAATACAAAGTCACTTTTAATGGTATTTGTTGTCAGAAATGTGAATATACTTTCCCATTGATTAAATTAACTTCACAATTGGAATGTAGTATTAGACAGCATATTGCATTATATTATTCTGGGTGGTTAGTATGTGATGATCCAGCATGTGGGATCCAAACTAGACAAATATCAGTATATGGTAAAAGATGTATTGGTTCAAGTGGTAGAGCTATGGATTGTAAAGGGATTATGAAGTATAAATATAGTGATAAAGCATTATATAATCAATTGCTTTATTTTAATTCTTTGTTTGATATTGATAAGACTAAGAAACGTCAATTAAGACCATTGATGGATGTATTGGAAGAAGATGATAAACAAGAGAAGATTGAAAAATTGGCAAGTGGACAAATTGATGCTTTGGCTGAACAAAATAGAGAAATGTTTGGTTATTGTCAAGAAGTTGTTTCTAAGTATTTGGGTGAATGTGGTCGTAGGTATGTTAATATGGGAATGATCTTTGAGTTTATGAATAATTAGATTTAGTTAGTGGTTTGTATAATAGTTTATAAAATTGAATATTTTGCAGTAATACGTGTATTTACCAATTTCTTCTATTTTTTACAGTTTTTCTTTTTTTTTACAAGTTATGTTTTAAATTTTTCTCATTTCTCTTTACAGAACAAAACTAACAAACAACAACAACAACCAGCATTTTAAAAAGCCGTGGGGTTACATTATCCATCAATCAATATGAACTACAACCAACAACCAGGGAGTGGTGGTCCGGGACAACAACAACCACCGATGAACCCGCAACAGTCACAAGGACAACAACCACAACAACAAGGTAGACCAGGTAATGTCCTCACAGCACAAATGTTGGCCAACTTAACCCCCCAACAATTACAAGCATTCAAAAACCATCCCCAATTTCACGAAATAGTACGAGCATACACGCAAAGACAACAACTAGCAGCCTTACAACAACAACAACAAGCAGGCAACAGACCACCCATGTCACAACAATCAACACCACAAATGCAACAACAAATGACCCGAGAACAAATGTTGAAACAACAACAAATATTGATGAATCAACGAATACAACAACAACAACACCAGAAAGGACCACCGGGACAAATGGGTATACCACCAAGTGGTATCCCCCCACAACAACAAGCGCAAATGCCGTATAGACAACAACCACCACCACAACCTGCCCCAGGGCCCGGAATTAATCAATTATCACCCCAGATGGTGCCAGGGGGAAGGATTCCTCCAAATATGGCCATGATAAATAAACAACTCCCACCTGGTGCCCGATTACCTAATCAGCCTGGAGGGGGGCCTATTGGAGTTGGACCACCACCTATGGCTGGTAATATCCCGATTGGAACTGGTATTCCTCCTGTTATGGGTGCACCTGGTAGTGGTGGTCCAAATCCGATTATGGAACATCCTGGAGTCATGTCAGGTGGACCTGGAGTTGGTAGTATTGGTGGTGCTACTCCTATTCAACAACCACCAATTATGGGTGCGACTCCGATTATTACTTCGAGCCTTGCTCCTCAGTTCCCTCCGGAAGTATTGAGTAAGATTCCGATGAAGACGTTGACAAGTTTCCATGAATGGTCGGATAAGTTAAGATCCGAGGGGAAGTCAGTACCTTATGATGTTAAAGTATATGAATCTATGATTAAGAAGGATTCTCAATTTATATCGAAATTAAATCAACAAACTAGGGAGAATAAAATCACGTTGGAGAATTTTAATAAAGATATCCAAGCCTATAATCATATCAAACAACTTCGAATGAATTCCATCAATTTAAGCAATAAAGGACAATATAATAATAGTATTTGGGGAGAAGGATATCAAGGCTATGCCAATGGGATAACCAACACCTCCACGAAATTATATCTCCCGCAACGTGATCTAACCGACAGGATGATAAATGAACGAGTCATGAAATATTCCAAAAAACCCAAACATTACGTCCCCATCCGACTTGATTTCGATCAAGAACGTGATCGATTCAAACTCCGTGACACCTTTTTATGGGACCTAAATGAAGAAGGAATGTCCGTTGAATCCTTCGTGAAACAACTTCTTGAAGATTATAAATTCATCCCCAAAGGGTATTTCGATATCATCGCCACCACCATCAAAGAACAAATCAGTGACTATCTGAAAAAACCCCTCAAAACAATGGGTGAGATCAGAGTGCCCATAAAACTCGACATCACGATCAATAATACCCAATTAACCGATCAATTCGAATGGGATATTTTGAATTGTAATGAACATGATCCAGAAGAATTTGCCATGGTTATGACTGATGAATTATGTTTACCGGGGGAGTTCACAACTGCGATTGCGCATACTATAAGAGAACAAATGCAATTTTATCATAAGGCGTTGAATTTAGTTGGATATAATTATGATGGGGCACCAGTACATGAAGATGAGATTAGGAATCATTTATTACCTTCGTTAAGACTCGTATCGAAGAATTATGAAGTTGTCGATGATTTCTTTTCAATCTTGAGGAATCCGACAAATGTGGCTGATTTTTCACCTTCATTGATCAAATTAACCCAATTGGAAGTCGAACGATTAGAAAAAGAAATCGAACGAGAAAGTAGACGAAAGAGAAGACATAATCTCCTTGAAGAAAACCAGCCGACGATTGTTAGTGGTCGTGGCATAACTTCTCGTCGTATTGCTGCACATGCTGGTCGTGGTGGACCAACATTACCCGATTTGACAGATTTGCCAAAAACATTCCGGACTCCGGCTCCAAGTTCGATTTTACCTGGTGCTGTTGATTTAGGGGTGCCTGAAGTATATGAATATAATGAGATTTATATTAATAGGACACAAGTGAGAAATCCGGATTATAAACCACCAACTCCAGAATATAGTAGTGAGGGGGAGAGAGTTAGTTATGATCATGATCCTATTTTGGGTAATTTGTTTGTAACTATTAAATTACCAAGAAGAAGATAGTGTTGAACTTTTTGTACAGTATTTTGTAATAATTAAATTTAATAAAATGTAGAAATCATATAAAATTTGCACCCAATGTAATTTCCACTTTAGATTTACGCCCTCATAACTAGTTTATCACCTTATACCTAGGGCTGAGTTTTAGCTTGATTTTTATTTGGGATAACCTCTTAAGAATATTCCATTTTAGTATAAGTGTACAAGTTTCAACATTAGTCCATACTTTGTATCTTTTTTTGTGACGGATTACGCAATCCCTTAATCGGCATTTTAATTTGACCGATGACTCAGAAGATAATTTGATAAGCCGCGCTTCCACATTTCACACCTTCCACAGAAAAATAAAAAAAATATAAATTTATAAATCTGAAAAATTTTTCAATTGAACTTCTTATCATATAACCATCATCACCAACCCAACACAAATGACCAAACAAGATAAAGTATGTCCCTCTTCTCAACCAGTAACCCCAACTAGACCCACATAATACTAACCAGCCATCCGCTAGCCCAAGGTCGACCCCTTCAAATCATTTATAGCAGGAGGTACCGCAGGTGCCATAGAAGGTGCCATAACCTATCCTTTCGAATTCGCCAAAACCCGACTCCAGCTCATCTCCAAAACCTCAACCCAATCCCGTAATCCCTTAGTCCTAATCTACACCGTGGCCAAAACCCAAGGAATATCCTCTCTCTACGTCGGCTGCCCGGCATTCGTGGTTGGAAACACCGTGAAAGCCAGTGTCAGGTTCTTGGGGTTTGATTCGATTAAAAAACTCCTAGCTGACAAGAATGGAAAACTATCCGGCCCCAGGGGGGTGATTGCCGGATTGGGTGCCGGGTTATTGGAGAGTGTGATTGCTGTTACACCATTCGAGGCGATCAAGACGGCGTTGATTGATGATAAACAGAGTCCTAAACCCAAGTATCAAAACGGATTAATATCGGGTTCGATTAAATTATGTCGTGATTTAGGATTTAAAGGGATTTATGCCGGTGTATTGCCCGTATCGATGAGACAAGCGGCGAATCAAGCTGTTAGATTGGGGTCATATAATGCTATCAAGACCATGATTCAACAATCCCAAGGTCGGAAACCGGGACAGGCATTGAGTTCGGCAGCCACGTTTGCGGTGGGGAGTTTTGCGGGGATTATTACGGTATATACTACCATGCCTATCGATACTGTCAAGACGAGAATGCAGGCATTGGGGGCGGATAAGAAGTATACTAGTACTGTGAATTGTTTTGTTAAGATATTTAGAGAGGAAGGGTTGTTGACTTTTTGGAAGGGAGCTACTCCTAGATTAGGGAGGTTGGTGCTTAGTGGAGGGATTGTTTTTACAATCTATGAAGAGATGTTGATCATTATGAAATAGACTGTTAGATATAGACAATAGATAAATTGTTGATGAAGTCAACGTATTTCCGTATTTATACTGATGGGTTTGTAGAGAATATCACCCGAAGGGTGATTGCACCCAAAGGGGTGGAATATTCTAAGAAATCATAGTAGAGATATCACCCTTTGGGTGCCATATTCTTTTACAATCTATGAAGAGATGTTGATCATTATGAAATAGACTGTTATATAGACAATAGATAAATCGTTGACGAAGTCAACGTATTTCCGTATTTATACTGATGGGTTTGTAGAGATATCACCCGAAGGGTGATTCCACCCAAAGGGGTGGAATATTCTAAGAAATCATAGTAGAGATATCACCCTTCGGGTGATAGCACCCATCGGGTGCTATATTCAAAAAAATAACGTGGCTCGTAGAGATATCACCCTTCGGGTGATTGCACCCATCGGGTGCTATATTCAAAAAAACAAAGTGGCTCGTAGAGATATCACCCTTCGGGTGATTGCACCCTTCGGGTGCTATATTCAAAAAAACAAAGTGGCTCGTAGAGATATCACCCTTCGGGTGATTGCACCCTTCGGGTGCAATATTCTAAAGAAATCATATAATTCTATAAAAAAAATATATATCTAATATACAAACAGTTCCCCGTCTCACCTCTCATCAGTGGCATTCTCCACTTGTTCAGTCACAGAAGTAGTATTATCTTCTCCATTATTATTACTCCTCCCCCCCTGCAGAGGAGCTAATATTTTCTTTTCTGTAACTTTAACTCGATAAAAATCAACGAAACCTTTTATAATTATAAACAATCCAAATGCAATCAATCCATATGCAACATATGGAGCTGATCTATTACTCCCGCCCCCATGTCCTGGACGATTATGTCTATAAACACCCCCGGACTCAGTTTTAAAAGTTGGAACATGTTTCCCCCCAATGCGAGTTAATTTGTCGATTCCATCGAATACATTTGGGTCGGTAGGAAGGTACATCTTGGGGATTTTATCCAGATGTCCAAAATTAGCCGGCACGATATCCCATCCATACATCACAAGTGTTATCCCTAACCCCACTTTCGACCCTTCCTTGGCCGCATGGGAAGTATGTAACAAATAACACAATATAAACCCCACAAATTGGAACGCAACACTCACCAATCCATTCCAAACAAAATTCGCCACATTCCCTACGGGTAAACCCTCAACAAACACTTCATCTTCATACATGGGCGATATGACATTCAGATCCCAATATTCCGGGGCCGCATCGGCGGCGGCTTCTTCATATGAAGGGGGGTTTAATTCTTGTTGTTGTAATGTGGATTCGAGATCTGGTTTTGCCATTAGGTTTCGAAATACTCCGTCGGTCCCCTGGCCGATGAAACGGCCGGGAGCATTCAGTTGCATTCTGCCGGTGGTTAGGCCGTTGTTTATACGTTCGTAGGTTTGTTTTATGGGGATGTATTTGTGGAAAATGTTGATTATTTTTATACGGGTGGATTGTCTGGGGTTGGCTGTGGGATTGGAAGAGGATGAGGGTTGTTGTTCGAGGTCGTCGACATCGTTCGCGTGAGGGGATGGAAGGGATGTTGATGATGATGCTATTGGAGGAGAAGACGGTATTGTGAATGATAATCTATTGTCTGTATTAGATTGAGGATTTGTTTGTGATGAGGGGATAATGGGGGTAGTTGATGATGATGATAGGGTTGAGGTGAATGAAGTTAATAGCCCTTGTTGTTCTTCCGCTTGTTCCGTTTGTAATAGATTTGTCAGTTGGTGAGTAGACGGCAGTGGTTGTGATTGTTGTGATTGTTGTTGTGCATTAGGTATCATTTGATTAGTAGATAACTAGTGTGTGTGTGTTAGTAAAAGGTGTTTCATAACATAGCCTCAATAGATAGATAAAGTAAATAAATATACATACTCTTTCATATGTATGTGATGTTGGCATAAGTATGTTGTGTATGGGTTATGTATATCAAGTGAATGAATGAATACTATATATATATAGAATCTAAATGATAGTAGGAGTAGTTAATCTAATATAGTATTCTATTATGAAAGAATGAATATTTATTGTCGTATTCCGTTTAAATAGAAATAACGTAAAATAAAAAAAATTGTTTAAAGGCAAGAAAGAAAAAAAAAAAAAAAATAATTTAAAACTTTAATAAATTTCTATTTTTAGAGGGAAAAGCAGGACAGAATTTTATGAAACTACATTAAACCATCTGATAGAAAGATCTTGTATATAGCACACAGCCTCTATAAATAACAACGTAGATACAATTAACTCATATCTATTAGCTATACATTTTCTATATAAATACATTGGGATATGCCATGGCATGTGTAATAGGGTTACCAACGTGTTAAATACTAATGATGTAATTATTTAACTATTTTTGTGTTATAAGTTAAGCAATTTATTGTTGATTAAATTGATAAATTAATCTTAACTGTACTTATTATTGTAACAGGTCAATATTACACGATCTTGATTTCATTGGGTAATCATACCCATATATAGTTATGATTCTTGGTTTCCATATAGTAACTTACGTTGTACTTCTTACTACTCTTAGTTATGTTTCCCTGATATCCGAAGTTCGCAATTTTCTTTTCTCTTTACAGCTGCAAATTAGAAGTTTAACACGAATTACAATATTACACCATTAATCTGAAACATTCATTTTTACATTAAATATGTCTTCAATAGCTTCTCACCTCTCATATACTATACTACACTATTATCAAATCATCGATATTTGTAGTACCAATAGATAACGTCAAAATGAAATGAAAAGTAAAATTGAATTGTATAAACAAAATAAAAATATATATAAAAAGAACTTACTTGAAGTTAATTGAGGATCTTATGTTAGTCTTCATCAAACCCATCAATCAATATTGGAAGTAAAAAGGTGAAATAAAAATGTATCAAATACAGATATATTTTATATAATAAAACGCAAGCCAAACAAACAATAACAAGAACAACTGTTAATAACAACAACAAATAACAAAATAAAAAACGATTCAAAAACAAAATCAACACCCAAATCTAACATAAACTCCTCTCTCTTTATCTCTCTTTTAAATAAACAATCATCTGTATAATAATCATCTTTCTTTCATAAAATTTTAACATATAAAGTATTCTAATTATCAGGATTTGCAACTTGTAAAGGTTTTCTAGGGAAATTAGTAGCTTCATCAATAAAACTACCTTCACTTAATCTTCTTCTCCCACCCATCATAATAGGATTCACTCTAGGATCAACAAATCCTCCACCATGATGTACAGTATCATTTCTTCTTGGTGTAGTACTACTATTTGCCGGATCAACAAATGGATTAGTCATTGGCATATCCAAAGGACTTGGTTTAACTCGCCTAGACCCCCCGACATTCCTATTAATTGGTTTATGATCAAAGAATTCTTCTTCATCATAATCATCATCATCATCTTCTCGATTTCTTCTTATCCAGAAAAATATTAATCCCGCAATAATTACGGCCCCAGCAACACCTCCAACTACACCTCCAACAATTGGACCAATGTTGGTGGATTTATTTTCATCTTTGTTGTCGTTGGTCTTGCTATTATTGGAATCACTTGATTCAGTTGGATTAGAATCTTGAGTAATTGTTTTAACAACCACGCTATTATCAGTAGTATGAGAAGAAGTAATCACCGTCTTACTAGATGTAGGACTTGAAGTTATACTAGATGTATCAATACTACTACTACTACTAACAACAACTGGATTAGTTGCATTTCCATTAGCCCCCTGATACACGGTATATAAATCATCATCAACCGTACCACAACTTGTGACCCCATAACCGGGACATGGTGTTGTACATTTATCATTAGCAAGTTTATTATTATTACTAGGTAAATCGTTAAGACAAACACATTTCTGACCTTGGATTGCAACATAATCATATCCTGGACATGCTTCTTGACAATTTCCTGATGATTGCCATTGGAAGCTAGATGTCTTACCTGTTATTGAACCACCATAACATCCAATATAATTCGCTGGCTCGTCGAAGGCTTGTACTATGGTTGGTAATATTGATAATAATGATGATATTGTTATAAGTATCTGTAGTCTCATATTTGCTATTTATATTTTATGTATAAGTTGAATTGAATTGAATTGTTAAAATTGGTATGTAGTCGTGGAAATCAAACGAATGAAAAATCTTTTGCAAGTTACTTTTTAATTGTCGTAACCAGAGTGTAGTACTAGTAGATTATAGTTGGTTGGTTTAATGGTTAATGATTGTAAATGATCAATGTTAAATGAAAGTCAGTGGTAATAAGTAAGTAAACTTGGTAAATGGAACGTAAAATTTAATTTTGGTTGGTTAAATTTTGAATTTTGGGTTGTTAAAGGAAAAAATTGATGATTGTGTAAAATAATAATAATCTGTAAATAGACGAAAAATTATTATTAACTGTAGGAAAAAAAAAAAGAAATTTTCTAACTTACACATTTATTTTACAGTTTATTCTTTTTGTAATTTAGAAAGGGGGAGGGTGAGTTTACATTTTTTTTATTTAAACTGTATAAATAATTTCTAAACTGTAATTATATCAGATTCTACGCGTTTTTACAATAACTAAAACAAGACTAACAATTATTTTTTAATGTATTATATAAAAATGTTTCGCGTATTTTTAATAATAAAGTTTAGTCTTACATAATAACAAAATGCTTAACTGTAAAAAAACCTAAAACTTTATTTATTCTATTTTAGGTTATATAAATTACATTTTATGATTTAATAAGCCAAATTATCAACAATCACTTCACCAATTCTGCTGTACTTTAGTAACTACGCGAAATACTCCATTCCAAAAATGTTTAAGCTTTATTGTTTATACTCAATTGTTCATTGTCTTGATCTATCCAAAGATCTATAAAACTTTATTTCTCTAGCGTGTATACATATCCACGATTGTTTATTCAGAATAAACAATACAGGAATGCAACCCCAAACCCCCGATTCTAGAACTCTAATTACAAGTTTCACCTGTCAGTTGTTGGGTCAGGATATACCATATTCACAACCTTTTTTGAAAGTGTTGCAAAAACAGATAATCTACAGACCCCACATCGGCATAAGATAACCATCTAATATGTATCAGATTAGATTGTTTTGAAAATCTTGTACATGTATCATCTCAAATCTAATACAGATTTCTTTTTCTTAGATCCATAATCTCGATACTCTGAAACAATTCGTGCTTAACTAGATCATGATTCTTCCCCATTGAATTTTTCATGCTTGGATTTAAATCAGATCCTGAAACATGGTGTATCAACCAAGAAAAAAAACAACCGACACTAATTAATTAATTAAAGGATGTTGGACATGCAACATCCTTAAAAAATGACGTCATTCGTGTACTTGAATAATAATGCATGTGTTTGATCTTGAACCAAACGGTATTTGCAAAAGAAATGCGCCAGAGGTTGAAATTACACCATAGAACAACCAGTTGTAAGGATGAATCCCGGGATGATATACATTCTGTAGTCTTTAGGTCTGTCGGTTCCCAAAGACGAAGCTAGGTTAAAAGTAAACTTGGTTATTCAGTAAGTTGCTTAGACACCTAGAGTAATATTTATTAGTCGGGATTTGCCTTAGGGGTTTGCTTAGACGTGCTTTGACGAGCATTTCTGGATTAATATTAATATGAGTGGATTTCCACCTTTTGGAATTAAAAGATTGTAAAAACTAGTTTGGTTAGAGAATTCCTATATATATAAGTCATATAGGGAGGTATTAATTAGCCCATAATATATCAGATATCAAATAGATAACGCTCTGCCAGGGTTTATAAAGCTTATTTCCTCGATAACTGTGTTTCATTCTTACACAAGTCAGACATTCACACGGGTCCAATACACATTGATTTTATTCAGTGATTGCACAAACACAGGTTGTTGTCCTCAGTAAATATTGGTATTTAGATCCAACAAAAGTCAAAAAGCATGACTTCAAAACCATAACTACAATTGTGCCATTGGCTCAAACCAGATCATATGTGTATCCAAACCCAGGGACTCAGTAATACCAATAGATGGTTCATTATCTCGAAATATTGCAAGCTATAGAATTTTTAAACCCTTTCATTAGCTTGAAGCGTTTCCCTAGCTTTGTGAACTACTACCACTTCGAAATATCAACAAAGATTAATACACTTATGATTTGTATTTTTTTCAGGTACTTTTAACTACTCAGGATCACTACAAAGAATGAATTATGAAAAATAATTCAACTTTTCTACAATTATGAAAGCCACCCAATATCTTCCTCCAGTGTTTATTGACAACCAACAATTGCTTACAACTTATTCAACCAAGTTTTCATTTCGCAATCTTCAGTTGAACGAATCCTAAAAATCTAGAAAGAATAAATCGTAATTCTCATACAGGTGATATCGATTGGTGTGATAGCTTCCAGACATAAGAGAGTTAATGTTCTGAGATCTTAAAGTGAGAATAGTTAATTCAAAAGAAAACCATCCAAGGTTCATTCCAGATAGAATTATGTCAATTCCAATTGCTGCAAAAAAAAACGTATTGTTATGAAACATTAAAGCCACCAAAATCAGTACCTCCAGACACGAAGTGTAACTATGGTATTTACGTTAAATGGATCTTTTACATGATCTATTTTCAATTAATAATAAACCATGTAAAATATCCATTTAACGTACAGTATATACCGTACTTACACTTTTCCCCTTGGGATCTGATTTTCTTGTTAACATTATTGTGAAAGAAACATCTAGAACCACTTCTTAGATTAAACGTATCTACTATATCTATACTAGGTATTTATATAAGCTAAAATCATGCAGATGATAGATTGTTCGACTGGGGTGTCCTGTTTGGTCTTCTACTGGTTCTGCTTTTTATTGTCTATCGGATTATAATAATGACTAGCCATTTCTTTGACTAAATTTTCATCCACAATCATACAATTTCTCATATACTCTTTACTTGTAAGTACCAATTCATTATATAAGATCATCTTCGGTTTAGGTTTAACCTTATATAATGAAGATGAAGGATGAATAAAACATCCAACATCATTCTTCCCGCCTTTCAATTTCAGATATCCATCTCCCATGTTATTCAATTTGACAATATTCATGAAAAATCCACCAACTATAGCCTTTTGAATCATTCGATTATTAACACTACTCTCACCATCTTTCGATATTTCAATTCCTATTTTCTTGACTAATTTAATTAATTGATCATACACATTCTTAACCCTTCTCATCGTCTTATATTGAATAAAATAATCATCACACCAAGATTTCGAATATCCAACATCACACCAATCCCGCCAAATCTTCATCAACATCAATTGATCCCCCAATTCATTCACAAATTCTTCCTTCCTCTTCTCAGCAAGTTCTTTCTTATCTTTCGGCCTATAGAACAAATTACCCAGTTCATTAATCATCGCAATCATCCCAATAATCGATTTCGTCACCCCATATTTCTCACTCAACAAAATACATTTCGTCAACACCGGGTCCAAAGGAAATTCACTCATCTTATATCCCGTTTTCGTTAACTTCCCTTTAGAATTCAATGCTCCCAAAGCATACAATACCTCCAACGACCTCATTATCGATTCCTTCGATGGCGGGTCCATAAACTCAAACCCAATCAAATCATTTATCCCCAATGACAACAATAATAAAACCACATTTGTCAAACTACTCCTCAATATCTCCGGCATTGGTGATTTCTCTAATTCATTATAAAATGACCATTTCGTAAACAATC